AAACTGTTTTTCAAAGAGAAACTTTTTCCACAGGTTTCACATGAGAAAGGTTTCTCACCTGTGTGAGTTCTCATGTGGTCAACTAACTTAGATTTATTCAAGTAATTTCTTCCACAGGTACCACAAGAGATAGTCTTCTCACCCATGTGAACTCTCATATGAGCAGTTAAACTTTTTTTGTGAGTGAAACTTGTTCCACAGGACCCACATGAGAAAGGTTTCTCACCAGTGTGAATCGTCATGTGAAGATTTAAATTTTTTTCATCAGACAAACTTTTTCCACAGGTCCCACATGAGTAAGGTTTCTCACCAGTGTGAATTCTCATGTGAACATTTAAACTTTTTTTACAAGAGAAACCTTTTCCACAGGTTCCACATGAGAAAGGTTTTTCCCCTGTATGAATTCTCATGTGATAAATCAAAGTACTCTTGTGAGGGTAATGTTTTCCACAGGTTGAACATGTGAAAGGTTTCTTAGCCATGCGAGTTGTCATGCGTGTTGTCAAGGTATTTCGAGAAAAGGTTTTGTCACAAATTTCACAAGAATATAGTTTTTGGTCTTGGTGAGCTTTCTTGAGTGTTTCTTGTTTTGAAATCGCCATTTTGCCTTTCTGTTTGTTCACCAACATGTCATCAGTCTCCTGTTTCAGCACAAGTGGTACTTTATCCTGACTGATACAGAGTTGCTCATTTTCCTCTTTGAACTGTTGAGGTTCTGGCTCCTCTTGCTCCCGTTTCATCTGCAGAGGTTCTGGTTCCTCTTGCTCCCGTTTCATCAGCAAAGGTTCTGGTTCCTCTTGCTCCCGTTTCATCAGCAAAGGTTCTGGACCCTCCTGATGTAAAGTGGAGTTTTCCTCCTCTTTACTCATGCAGCATTGATGGAAATCTGGACAAAAAGACAAAACAAAAGCTTCAAAATGTGAGTCAATGAACCCTTCACTTTCATTAACAAAAAATAGTCTTCAGTGAACTTGTACGTGTCCACAAAAATAAAATAAATTCTCTGCCATAGTTCATCTTTCGGAGCAATTTTTATTAACCTTATTTGGATTTTTACAATGTCTGCATGTGGTTAATAATTTTACCAGCGATAAAACTGCAGTGGCATCAAGAGTGCCAACATTTGGAAATATGTCGTCTGTCTAGCCGACATTAACCCCTCTTAAGGATTTGCTTCTTGCAAACTGGGACGTTTCACAATATTCTGTGACCACTGCACACTGTGACTGTAGGAGGCGCTGTTGCAGCTTTATAGTTTGCTTTATTTATGGACACAGAATACGATAGCGCTTATATAATGGGAGCACTTAGTTTACATTAGAACATTAGACTACTTTTCCTTCCCCTTTTCTTTCCTTTGGTATGTTATTTTGTTTGCATTTCCTTTTAACTCATGTAAAGCACTTTGAATTGCCTTGTTACCTTTCAGAAATAATAGTATTACATCTTATACATTCAGCAGGAAAGTTTACACAGGTGGTAAAGACTATTTATATGCAATTCTTTCATTCCGTCAAAAGTAAAATAGCCCTCAAACCTTCAGTTTTTGTTTTGAAGGTTTCATAAAGATACAATGTGAGGAAGGAGAGGGAGATTTCTATAAAGAGAGACTGTTTCACTGAAGCATGGATGAATCTCGCATCAGATTTTGGACTCGATCTCAGCTGCTGAATCACTGAAGCTAGAACTTGTCGGTTGGAAAATATGTGTGTGTGCATATGAACTTGCATAGCCTATATTATTCATTAGTAATCATATTTATATGAATATGTAGAGGTTATATACTTTTTTTATTATCGTTTACGAATGTAAAATGCTCATCATACATCAATATCAGAATATTCTATTCCTATTCTAATGTTTCCCCCACTAAGCATATTCAAGTATGCTGAACCATGCATAAATACAATTCAAAAATACTTAGAAAATAAAATACTTAGTAAATTTAGCTTTGATAGTCATTTGAATAAGATTTCTAGTTTAAAAAAGTGTATTATGATTGATTAAATGCAGTGATACTTTATTGTGCCTGTCAAACAACGCTGAGTGGAGTGGCCGACCACTCCAACATGGCCACCCTTAATTTCGTCAGCTACAATAGGCGAGAGCGGCCCATGTATGAGGTTCCATTTTTGTCAAAATTAAGAAGAAGTCATACGTTTAGATGTCATATGTCCATGTTGAATATGTCGTTCATGTCCTTGGTCCGTGTTGCTATTGCCTGTTCTCTTCACCATTATAAAGTCTTGAAGCAGGTCGTGTCTGATCAAAGGGTTTATTAGATATTACAAAAATGTTGGTCTTTCAATATCAGTGGTTTCAAAATGTCTACTGCTGCCTCTAGTGGCGTGGGGGTGGTAACACAAATAATCCAATTACATTACTAATTCAGAATACCACAAAGTCTTTATTATTAATTCTGGCATTACTAGAACAGTAAAAGATAAACTCCCTCACAAAAGAACATACCTTTTCATTTTCTTAAGGAAGTAGAGCTAATTAAATGAAATAAACAAGAACTGAAAGTGGTTCCTGTTTTCTTGATGGAAAACTTGTTGAAACTGAGGCAAAGTTTAAATTCCTTGTGTCATTCCTGGACAGTCAGCTCAACTTTGCTGACAAAACTGACTATATATTTAAGAACTGTTCTCAGAGACTCTACATTTTTAAAAAGACTAGCTTGAAGTTGTGCACAACATTAGGTTGAGGTTGTTCAGTTAAAATGTTAAAACTTAAAATTATAACTTGAGTTTTAAATAATCTCAAGTTAAAACAACATTTTAACTCCAGTTTTAAATTTTCATCTTCTCAGTTGGTTTGGTCACATGAGCTGCAGACCAACAATCTTAAGAATAGTTTGAATGGCAGGTATAACAGCAGGTAAATAATGGTGAAACAAAAAACAACTGTCTCAACTGTTTGCTGAAAGAACATGGAAGATGGCAAGAAACATTTCAGAAGAGAGAGTCGACCGTCTTTATTCATCAGTTTGAGCCTCTGAGCTCATGAAGGCGTTACTGTGTTCCTATAGCAACCAAGAACATCTTTTAGAAGTTATTTATTAATGGTTCAATAATTATTCTTAACCAAACTAAACATTTACTTATAGCATGCCAAGTGTTTTTGCTCTATTCACAAATTGTTGATAATGTGATTCTATGAACATGATTTATCATTTTAGAGTCAAAGGAAAATTTCCACCTTAATAGATTAAATAATGTTCATCTTATTTTTTCTTGTATAACTCTAACAAAGAGTATCTCAGAATAATAAACATGGCATCATAAAAACATTTTTTTCTAGCATCTGTTTAACAACTCTGGTTATTCTTCTGTTCTTAATTCATTTGTTTATTGACTTTTGCTCAATTAAATTTCTTACATGTACATTGCAAATTGTAGTTTTATTATAGTTGAACATGTTGTTTTTCATGTCTCCTTATTTTCTGTGGTCCTCCTATTATTTATGGAGATATTAATATAATATTTATAATGTATAAAAGTATTGTTTGTCATTTAATTAGCTCTACGTCCTTCAGAAAATGAAGAAAATGTTGTTTGATAATTTAGATTTTATCCTTTACTGACAAAATATAATTTATCTTATGGCAAAAGATTAATTGTCTTTTGTCTTTTGCCATAATGCCGAAATTAATAGTAAAAACGTTGTGGGAAAAAAATACGTCGTGGTATTCTGATTTAGTAATTATATTAATTGTCACCACCCCACGCCACTAGAGGCAGTAGCAGGCCCGAATCTATACGACTAAGAAGCAGATTTAGAAGTACACCGAAAACTACAGAATTTGTTAAAAAATGAGTTGCGTTGAAGTAAATGAGAGGAGTTTAAATACTTTCTGAAACTCCTTAATAAAGGTGAAGATATTACAGATTTAAAAAGAAAATAAAAACGGAAGGCTGCGAATAGCACCCATCAACCTCGTTAGCTGCCCTGACTAATGCCTGAAGACACTACGAGGTAGAAATCTAAGTATTTGGAAACCACTGGTATTGAAAGACCAACATTTTGTAATATTTAATAAACACTTTGATCAGACATGACCTACTTCAAGGCTTTTTAATTGCGAAGAGAACAGGCAATAGCAACACGGGCCAAGGACATGAACCTCAACATAGAAATATACAACAGACATATGCATATGTAGATGTTCTACATATGCATCCTCTACATGCAACATAGAGCAACGACATAGACCACCTATATCTATTTATTTTTGACACAAATGGAGCCTCATATCCATGAGGCGTCTATTCTTTTATTATGTCTATGGGCTCATCAGTAAAACCTGAAGGTGTTTCGTACCTATTCGGTGTAAGACGATCTTCGGTATCCGGGTGAAATCCAGCGGTCTGCGCTGATCCTCCATCTCTTCTTCGATCTTGACGTTGATTTCTTTCAACTCTGTGAATGTTTCTTCAGCAGGAGTTTCCTGCTCGTTGATAAACTCTCTCTGAGGCTGAACTGAAGACATTTTTATTAAAAACACTCACATATTTAGCTAAACTTCAAACCCGTTTTCACACAACCGTCTAACAAAAGAAAAGCTGAGAGTATCCCGTGTCCTCTGTTTTTATCTTTTTTGTGTTTCACTTCAGTGGCTGTACTGAAGAAACTGGAAATTATTTTTAGTTCCGCTTTGAATTTTCTGCTGCGAGTCTCCTCTTTTATTGATGGGTTTATTGTTAGTGGAAATTTAGAAAATAGTTTAATTTATATGTGTAACCTGGGGTTGTGACTCTTTTTGTATGGTGGTAAAACATAATGCTGCTTGATAACTCAAGACCAAGTACAAGTAGGGAGGGAGAGTTTAGTGAGAACCACAGGTGTCAAACTCCAGTCCTCAAGGGCCGCTGTCCTCCAGTTTTTAGATGTGCCAGAGGTTCAAAACGCTGGAATGAAATGGTTTAATTACCTCCTCCTTGTGTAGATCGGTTCTCCAGAGCCTTAATGACCTGATTATTCTATTCAGGTGTGGTGCAGCAGAGGCTCATCTAAAAGTTGCAGGACACCGGCCCTTGAGGACTGGAGTTTGGCGCCCCTGGCTGAAAAACAAACAAACAAACAAACCAAAAACATTGATAATATTGTTTTGTTGTTCTTGCAATAATGAATAAAGTGCTGTTTGAATGAAAATCACTTATGTCTCCTTGGTAGCTCATTAGAGTAAACTCCTTCTGATTCATTTTTTTTTTTCCCATTATTATTAATTTATTTATTTCACTACCTCAGTTCACCCGAGTGAAACGCAGAATACTAAATAATTACATACAAACTAATGTTTTCAAGCTTTTACAGTTAATTTAGAGGTTTTATGTTTTTATTAAATGTTTTTATAAAAGCTTTATTTACTAAAGTTTTTAATGAAATGTTTATATTAAACTTAATATTTTAAAAAAAAACTTTTATATCAGAAATGATAATTTCGTGCTGCCACCTATATATATTAAACTTTTAATGTTTAATAAAAAAAAAACATGTGATCAGACATGTGACCTGACACGGAAGCACATTCGTGCTGCCACCTACTGACACAAACCTGCTACTACACCTCCATTGTTTCAACTGTTGTAGAAATCAGTGACTCAGCTATTTTTCTACAATCTGTGCTGAATTCATTCCAGTGGATTTCAAACATTCATATGCTGGAGTATGTTTAAACAGCCACATTCAATAACATGGATTATCAAGTTTATTTCAGTGGTTCAGTCAGTGAAAATGAGTTTTAAACACATAATTTAAATTTACCAGCTGTAAAATGTATATATTTTTTGTCTCTTTTTATATAGAGATTTTGCATATAAGTAAGACGATAACCAGAATGCTTTTATTGTTCTGGTGTTTAAATCAATGCTTTTTCAATTGTTTCTTCAGTGACGTTAATATTTTGCATGCAATGTGAGACGTTTTTTCAGTCAATTATGTTCAAAATGTTCAAGTTAAATACAATAATCTAAAACACGTGGCCTCATACTGTTTTAAAATGAGTCAGAAACTACAAACTACAACCTTAAGTGCCGACATAATAGCTGTCCGTATTTTAACTATACAGTTCTATTCATACTCAATAAATTAAAATATGAAAGAAAATGTGGTATTAACATTAGGATTAAGAATATCTTCGGTTACCTACTTCAAAGCAGGTATTAAGCATTTCTCTCTTTAAATGTTTTTATTAATTTGTCTATCTAATCTTAAGCTGCATTGAGCCGCTATCAACCCGCATCTTTTTAAAACGTCCTCGACCCGATTCTCCACCGTCCTTAGAGGGAAAACTACGGTGGGCGACAGGTGCAAATACGCAGCAACAGAGAAAACATGCAAACAAAACAAGACACGCGCACAAATGAAATGCAGCAAACATAAAAACAGACGCAAACAAAAAGTAAATGAAATGCAGCAAACATAAAAATAGACGCAAACAAATGAAAAGCAGCAAGGCTTAGCTTTAATAGGTCAAACCCATTTGCACAGGAATAAATTAAATACTTTAGTGAACAAAATTGTTTTACAGCTATTATCTGACTTAATATCTGTGTTCCACCTCCACTCAGGGGAAAACTAGCGGGAGTTTTTATAACAATTTGCCGGGAGACGAGCGTTCTCTCTCGGTGTGCCGAACCTGGAGCGCCCGACCAGCTGACGGCTGGCTGTTAATGCAGCGGGAGCAGACATCTCCGAAAACGTCGGAGCAATATTGTAATTACGTGATTTATTGATGAACCGAGCAGATATTTCAGATCTATACATCTACATTCTCGCCTAAAAACATTGTAAAACATAATTTTGTGTAATTTT